GAGTAGTACTGTATTACAGTTACGTCGACTCATGTAATGCCAAATGACTCACAGATTTGTTTTTGTCTACAAATCCAACACTCAATGACTGACTGAATGAGTGAATGAGTGCTCTATTTCTCAGTCATTTCACTCACTCTACCATTGAATGCATTCATTGCTAACCAATTGTTTGCCAATTGTTAGCCAATTATAATCACAAAACTCGCTGTAATTAGTGGCGAACCACACGAATGCCTCACTCCTATCAGTGATCATAAGATCTTGTAATCACAGATTGTCTGCCACTCAGCCAATGATTGTTTGATTCGTGCGATCGCATCATATCTCAAGTATCTGTTAATTGATTTGTCAAACACTTGAACGATCACCTAATTGTCTCATCCGAGTGTCAGCCATGTCTCAGCCATCAGGTATGTGCTCACAGTGTGATCACTGGTCGTGAATGTGTGCTAACATTGAGTGCATGTCTGGTGTCAGGGAGGTCTCGACGTCCACCCAGGTTACCCCAATTCAATATCCCCGTCGAGTCCACACCACCACCAATGCCACCGCCAGACAATTTGGACATAAGGACGACCATACAAATAGGAGACCAAACCATTGACATCGATGCAGACAATCTGGAGACTGTGGTCGAGTTGGGTCGCGGGGCGTACGGTATCGTCGAGAAGGTGAAACACAAGTCCACGGGACTCGAGATGGCCGTCAAAGTATGTCTTCAGACACCGCTTTCTGTGCATTTCATTCACCTCTCAATTGTATTGCATTTCTAAACACACAAAGTCTCCTAATCAGTCTTATATCAAGTCCTTGTCTTCGCTGACGACTACCTATACCTACAAAACCAGTTGAGAAGGCCTACAGGATTGTAACACATTCTTTACTAAGTGAGATACTGAATATCGTTGACATGAATTTGATGATCATATCGTTGACATGAATTTCATGAGTGTTTGTACTGATAATTATAGCAAATTTTATGGCGCGATCTTCTGGGAGGGAGACCTCTGGCTCTTTATGGAGATAATGGACGCCTCTTTGGATAAGTTCTATCGACTCGCGTACTCACGAGCGGACACCTCGAGCGCGGAGAACGCCATTCCAGAGGACATATTGGGCAAAATCGCCTCGTGTATCGTAAAAGCGTTGAAATATTTGCACGAAATGAAGATCATCCACAGAGACGTCAAGCCCTCCAATATCCTGATCAGTCGCAACGGTGACGTCAAGTTGTGTGACTTCGGTATATCCGGACATTTAGTCAATTCAATCGCTCAGACATTCGAAGCCGGATGTAAGCTATCCACAGAGACGTCAAGCCCTCCAATATCCTGATCAGTCGCAACGGTGACGTCAAGTTGTGTGACTTCGGTATATCCGGACATTTAGTCAATTCAATCGCTCAGACATTCGAAGCCGGATGTAAGCCATATATGGCTCCCGAGAGGATTAATCCCGACCCCAAACGCAAGGGCTATGATATTCGCTCCGATGTCTGGAGTTTAGGTTTGATTTGTGAACTCTACGAGTTCATAATGGTGTGCAACTGTCTCACTGATTGTGTCCATTGACAGGCATCTCAATGCTGGAGATAGCGATCGGCAAATTCCCTTTTCCTGAGTCCAAGAGTCTGTTCGAACAGCTGAAGCGCGTCTGTCACGACGACCCGCCACGACTGCCTCTCAACAGGTTCTCCAAGGACTTCGAGGACTTCATCGATAAGTGGTATGTAGTCACTCATATATGGCCAGTACTTTCACTCATTTGTGTCCATTTGTTGCCATTTGTTGATTAGTCTTCAGAGAGACTACGAGAAGAGACCCTATTATTCACATCTCCTAACCTATCCATTCATAACGCAAAACGAATCCAACGATATCTCCAGTTTTGTGACCAAAATCCTACCGCCGGTAGAATCGACTTAATTATTATGCAATCAATTGATAATTTATGCGAATCGGCGCCAAATACTATACAAATGGAGTGCCTTTACACCAGTTTTGTGAGAGTTTATGATTGAAATAAGAAGTCAATTATCACTTCTTGATGATCGACTTTGCGTTCAATTTTTGTTTTCGCTTAACATTTAGTTTATCGATAAATGCGTTCAAGTTTTATGGTTTTGAAAATTTTAAACACATTTAATTATATTTCATATGAATTCATAAGTAAATAATCTTTTAATTAGATTGAAATCATGCGATAAATCAATAAAACGTAATCGAGTTTTAATAATGAATTGAATTATTTTGGGATCAAAAATAGATTTCTAAACACTTATAGTGCGGAACAGATCGATGCCATTGGATGCCGTACTGATAATGAGCCCCGGGATCTGTTTGTGCCAATGGAGTTCTTTGATTTCAGTTTGTCCCTGATGTATGAACAACAGTTGTGGCGGCAATTCGTTCACTTCGGATTCATCGCAATCATTGATGTTGTCTTTCTCGACGGCTAAGTCCCAGAGTGTCAGCTGATTGTCATCGCCAGAGGCGGCGAATACAGTGCCGTCCGTCGGGTGCCACTCGACTGAAGTGATGTGTGAGATGTGGTGTTTGAACGCAGCGATAGGTTTTGGCGCTTTCGACTTGAATTGTCTTAAATCCCATATCTTAATCACTCCGTCGTCACCACCGGAAGCAATGAATGTTTTCTCAGTTTTATTCCAAGAAATAACGTTAATATCGGAGTCATGAGCCGATTCGACGGACAGCATACAACTGGACGACTGTTTGGCCCGAATGTCCCAAATGCGGATCGACTGGTCCACAGAACAAGAGGCCAACACATTCTCTTCGCTCGGAGACCATTGAAGGTCTTCGACAGACTCTTTGTGGCCAATGAGTGCCTTTTGGTCGACGGCCCAAGCATTTGATTCCGTGGGCTTCCAAATGAATATGTTTTTCCTGCAGTCGCCGGTCGCCAGAAGTCCCGGTTTGAGTGAAGACCAGTCCAGACCATAGCCTTCCACTCGATGTCCACTAAAACTAAATATGGGTTTCACTGAAGTCTTATTTTTGATGAATTGGTTGACGAGTTCGGAATCGTTGACGGCTTCCACGGCTTGTGTGAAATCCCATAGGAATACAGTTCCCGACTCAGACCACGTGCCGCACAAACACTTGCCGTTCACTGATGTGCTTCTGATTCGGTTAACACAACCCCTGTGTTCAATAGGAATGCAATCCAATTGTGGTTCCGGCTCTTCCTCCTCACTATCACTGCTGTCATCGCTTTCATTGTCTTCTTTCTCCTCTTTGTGTTTGATTTGGTGAAGACCTGACATTCGGAGCACTAATACCTTATTTCCATCGGCTTTTCCCGACTGAGTTCCGGCCACAAGAGTACAAGACAGCGGGTAATTGTCGGCCCTCTCGGGTCCGGCGCCCAGTCTGTCGGCCACGATATCAAAGCTAAGACACGGATACTCTGTCTGAGCCTTTCTGTACAACACGTATGCGCTCTCATCGAAGTCCAGTTCCTCGTTGTTGTCGACCACAGTTGGGATGTATGTCCGCCGCACCAGAGGTTGCTCTTCAGCGCCGTTGCCCTCCGTCTCCATCTCTTCCGTGTCTTCTATCTCTGAATCACTTCCGGACTCCTCGTCATCGCTCACCAACTCTTCGTCTCTTAACTCTTCAGACATTTTTGGTAATTACAACCAAATTAAAGACAAAACAAGTGATAATTAAAGTGCAAAAGAGCTGTAATTATGGCCACAAATGAATGGCATTTAAAACACGTGTTTCTCGTTGTTTACAATCGTTTCCATAGAAACCATTGAATGACAAGAAAAAGAGTTTTGTTTTGATTTTTGCATTCAATTCGTGTTTTCAATGAGATTTCGATTGCATTTCAATTGAATGACAAGACTTTGAAATTAAACTATTATTTCATATGTTTGGAGACATGGATCCACATGAAGACAAACC